CGCTGATCAAATATGAATCAAGATTCTGTTAATGTAATGCCTATTTCTTGCTGTAACATGAGAAAGTTTGTGACCTGGCCACCATGTTAGAGATAGCTGACTGATATACCAAGCACTGCCCACCATCCGGACCAACTTTCTCATTTTACAGGTAAACAGTACACTAAAATATGTATCTGCAAACATTTGATGGGAGAAATAGGCAGTAAGTGTTTTGTTTGACAGCTTGACAGCACTTCATGAGCACTGACATGATTGACATGACTGAAAGCTGCATTAGAGACTCCTCAGCTCTGATTGGTTGTTTTTGTGCATATGCAGTAAGGTCATTTGAAATGCTACAAGGTAACAGAGTAGGAAGATGAGTATGATTTTTTATTTATTTTACAGATAATCTGTCTCATTTAGTGCTGTATGAATACAGTGACAGTTTCAGAAAACATGAAAAAAGCTGTTTTTTATAGAAGTTACAAACTATGGCTTTAAAGGACTGATGGGTAAAAAAAGTGTACTGTGCATATAAATAAAGAAAATAAAATAAGACTGAAACATGAAGTAACAATCCCCTCTCAAACTGCTGGAGACTGTCTGTCTGTCTTTGTTTTTACATTTAATGTTCCAGTAACCAAACTGGTGGTGACATAAACTGTAATTTTGTTCCCTGAATATCATTTAGGATTTCATCATCTGCAGGACGGCTGCTGCGTGAAGTGGAGCTTGTACATGAACTTTTACTGTAAAAGGCACATAACTTACTGTAAACTGCAAACAATCATTTATTTTAAGCTACTGTTTCGTAAGGTATCTAACAGAATTATATTTTTAATTGGACTAAAAATGAATTGATGTTATCTGTCACTTGTCAGTTACTGTCATATAATGTCTACTGGATATCTTTCAAAAGAGGTAAGATACAAAAACCAGGTCACATTTACATAACTTTCCCACAAATGGGCCAATATACAACACACACACACACACACACACACACACACACACACACGATAGGCCGCCCATTCCCATCTATAAACACACATTCACAGTTACATCAAGATATTCACACTTGTTTCTGTGAAAGCCACGTCTCCAGTGACCAACAGTCTAAAGCTAAAGCTGGCAGGTGTGTTTGTGTGTGTGTGTGTGTGTGTGTGTGTCTGTGTCTGTGTGTCTGTGTGTGTGGGTGTCTGTGTTTTCCTGTCTCCGGCCGGGGCTGTTTGTGGTGAATAATAATTTGGACTTAGTCAACTAGTCAGATTTAAAGAGATGGTGAGTCACTGTTGGCGTCAGACAGAGGATTGTCCCGGTAAATATGTAGGTCAGCAGTCAACCTCTCCTCTAATGATACTGCTGATGTAAAAACACACAGTCTATTTAATTTATTTTTGTTTTCACAGGAAATTGTATTGACCTACTTCTATCAACCTGTCTGTCTCTCTTTACCAACATGACCATAAACCTTACCCTAAAACTTTGCCTTTTTTGTATGAGGTACGGCCAAAATGTCTCCTTCCACTCCTGTCTCACAGACAGGCTCAAAGTTTATTTTCCACGAGTCATACGTCATAAAATCCTACAACAAACTATGTGAGAAACAGAGACAGTATCCTAGGAAAGGAACAGAGCCAAGAGACTTATTAATGAGCTCTACCTAAGACAATATTTACAATATCGATCAAAGAAATGCCTCTAGTGGTTCATTTTCGTTCCCGCTGAAAGTAAAAAGTCTCCCACTCATGGATTTACGTTCTATCTTCAGCTGAGCACACAGTAGCTCCTATAAAAACAGTGTAAAAACAGAAATGGATGTTCACATGGTTCTGACAGTGACAGCAGAGGTCTGACACAATACTGACAGCAAAAACACAATTAAATGGAAAAGGGCAGACTAAACATTTTAATATTCCTAAGAAAAACACAGACGTCAAAGCAGTTTATTCTGCAGACTGTCACAAAATGACATAACAAAATGTTATGAAATCTGAGGTTTTTATTTGTGGTCCTGAGAGGTTGAACCTTAATGTTTTAATAAAACTCTGGCTCTTCCTGTCAGGTAATTGTGAGGCCACAATGTTGACGTCTACTAAGGAAAGATTTAAATCAAATGAGCAGATAGCCAAGATATTACAAAAACAAATTAAAGTGAGACTATGTAATGTGTGCTGTTGCAGATGAGCTATGGTATTTACTTCCTGTTTAACCTTTGATAAAAACCATTTAAAAGTTTATCTGTCATATGTGTCACAGCAGCACAGAAGAGAGGAGTTACACATTTAGCAAATCAACTCACCAATGTCAGTTAGTAGGCCAAAGTTTGCTAACGTTAGCCATGATATGCTAATGGTCATACCAGCCCAAGACCAAGTACGGCTGTAGCAGCAAACCGCTGAGTGTGTTGAACTAAACAAGGGACATTTTATTACTTACACATTTCTGAGGTTTTATTTGTACGAGAAAAACATTTGTTATATCTTCCTTGAAAACTTTCATAGTTGTGCATTAATGCTCCCCAGAGGATGATCCCCTACCATTTTAAACATACCTTAAATAAGATATCTCATCATATAAAAGTTAGGTTGTTGAGACATTTGCTGAGTAGGATTGTTTATTGTCAAGACACTGGCAATATGATATGTATCGCGATACAAGGATTACGATTAGGGATGTCAGTTTTGATTCATCTTGTGTTTTATAGCCCTACACCCATTAACCGAGGGTTTGCAGTTCAAAATTGAGCCACTTACTCGACAGGGTGACCTGGGGGGGAGACTGGAGGGTGGTTATAAAGTTGCTGCACTAATGCTTTTGGGTCGGGACGGCATTACGACTGATAAATCGCCAAATGAGCAGTGCCACTAGCTGGCTCCCATCAGACCTTGGTGAAACACAGCGCAGTAAACTGAAGAGTAGCAAAATTAACCTGTAGACCGACATGCATAACCGATGAAAAATATTTAAAATCCATAGTCATGATTAAATACATTGCGATATATTGCAATACTGTAAGCGAGGCAATATATTGTATTCTTTTTGTAAATCTAATTTTAAGAAAACTGTCATACTATAAGAAGAAACCACCATTTGCATAAAAAGAGTTAAAAAAAAAAGTTCATGCAATTAGAACAGTGGGATTTGCACTTGTATTTATTACAGTCCCTCTAACACACTAACAGTGTTGTTAACTTGAGGTGGAAGAGTCAAATGGCTAACGACAGATAACAACACTGCTATGAAGCAGTCAGGGGTTTAAACACAACACAAAATTAAGAGCTGCCACACATTTTGTATGTAAACTATCAATTAAGTCTATTGATATTTTCTTACACCCCTACTGCTGAGCACATTCGAAATCCAAAGGACATAAACTCTTTCTTCTAGTAGCCCTCCTTAGGACAAAATAATCCACAGCCTACAAACATGCTTAATGTTCCTGAATGTATGCAAATATCTAAAAAAATATTACACATAAAAGAAAAACCGTCACCCTTCATGTAGGGGTATAACACACAGATTAGGAGACAGAGAAACAAACAGAAATGTACAGATACATATAGACAGATACCACACAGACGTGTTGGCCTTTCCCTGCAACACCAGTATTACTGTACAAAACCACAGCAGAAAAACACCGCTATCTGTGTTCCTCCTTCCTACACTCACACACACACACACACACACACACACACACACACACACAGAAACACAAACACAATGAACCACTCCTATGATGAAACAAACGCCTCCAATTTGTTCCAGAAACCTAACAAGAGCTGCTCAACCTCCAAACCAAACTAAGTCTCCCCTCCTCCGACCACAAGACCTGAGCTTAACAACCCTCTAACCCAGTTACGGTTTCAAATTCAACTTCCTCAGCCCGTCATTCTTTCTCTCTAACAGAGCTGGTTCCTGTTGTCTTTAACCCAGACAGAGAACTACATTCATTTATCTGGATTCTGAAGCAATACTGTTCATGTGAAATCCAGGCAATTACTGGAGAAAGGATGAGGAAATAACAGCAACCTAGTGAGTGACTTGATGCATCAGAGGGCGAAAACGCGGGAGGAAGAGAAAGTGAGAGAAAGGTTTAGCAGACAAGTAGAGACGATGATATCACAGCTACTGGCCTGATAATGATGATACACAACAGCCATCCTCTCATGAGCAATGCTGCGTAATGTGACCTAATAGCTATACGACTTGTCCTTCAGTCAAAGCCAGATGTTAGAGCTGTGACATTTTAATCTTTACATACACTAACTTTGATTATATATCCAGACTTTGAGAAACTAAATGACAATAAGTTCTTTCTCAGATATGAAACTGCTTCCTGCATTCAGTCAAACATATAATGTCACAGACAATCAAATGCTTCCTGCTTTGCTACATTTTCACTTTTGTCTCACTCATACCAGTTCAGTTTCTGTTTCTGACTGTTAAATATTTGTTTTTATTAATAACAAAAGGTAATTTCCCGTTAAGGGCACTACAGTTCATTTCAGGAACAAATCTTTGAGAACATGGCAGATATAAGTGCTCTAAAGCTGTTCTGTATTTGTGAGCTTAATTGCTGATCAGATGATTTGATGATATCACAGAAACAGGAAGATGGAAACAAACAAAGCTGAAACTGGCGAAGATGGGCCCAGACTGCTGGCACCTTGAATGCTCCACTTTCTATAATCTTCATCATCTACATGAGAGGTCATCTGTTAGCTCTGACACTTAAATTGTCCTGTTTACTTTGAGGACTGGCCAGATTGTTCTCAGCATACTCACAGTTTCCAGTAAACTGAAACAATAAGTTGATTAATCTATTTGTCGACAGAAAAGAAAATTAATTATCAAAATAAATAAATACACTTGATATTATCATAGAATTGGAGAGACGGACACAAAAAGTAGTTTCAAATGAGCACATATGAACCTGTAGGCTGTGGATCACATCCCAGATCAACACTTAAATAAAGAGGACAGCAGTGAGGACATTATGGACAGTTTCTTACCCGCAGTCAGGCGCCGGGCACCATCGGCAGTCTGGATCGGAGGCGAGGCACCTCCGCAGCAGGAACTCCTCATACTTCTCCAGCAGGGCCGCGTCATCCAAGATGTCCGCCACCTGTCGCGGGGCCAGTCTCTCTGCACACTCGGGGCAGCTGAGCTGGACTCGGCTCTCTGTGATCTCAATACGGAGGTACTGTCGCAGGCAGCAGAGGCAGGAGCGGTGGCTGCACCCCAGCAGCTCGGGGAGCTGGTCAGCGGGCTGGCGCACCAGGCACAGGGGGCACTCCAGGAGGTTGGCCTCCCCGGAGGAAGGGGCTCCACCCAGGGAAGGCTGGCTGGAGGAGAGTGGCTTTGAGGGTGTGTTCGAGGCAGCATCCTGGGGGGTCGTGGTGGCTGTGGTGGTCGTCGTTGTGGGTGTAGCAGAGGCTGCGGCGGGCACTGAGCTCAAGGCAGTAGGGAGAAGCTGTTGTTGTGTGTGGAGATGTTGGTGATGATGGGATAAAGGGGTGGCAGCTCCTCCTTTGGGGCCCCTGGCGCCCCGAGAGCCCCGTTTGCTGTGAAATAGGCTATGAAAGGAGATGCGGCCCTGGCGTTTGCCCGCCGCACGGCACTTAGGGTTCGGGACGCCGCTCACTGAAGAATGAGGCGACTCTGAGTCCTTTTCTGATCCCATTTTTCCAGAGGAGACACACAGGACCGGTTATTGTCCCCTGAGAAACGTCAATGTATCACAGAGGGACACTCACAGCCACACAAAAAACACACTCAGTCTCACACACAAGGGAGGATTTGTCTCCTTGTGAGAGCCAAACAGGAATGCAAATGCTATTTGAGCTCCTGTAGAGAAACTTGAGTCACTCAGCTCCTTCCTTTCCTTTTATGAGAAACAGTACGTCATCAGGAAAAGAAAAGAGTGAGGTAACAGCAATGTAACAACAGAAAATGAAAGAGATTGCGCAAGTTAAAAAAAATCCCCTTTAGCTTTCAGAGTTTCTTTCAAACTCGGCAGTCAAAAGGTTCACAAAGAAGAGAAGGAAGCAAGTCTTTCATCTCTCAGGCAGACGTCGAGGTGAAGTAATACTGTGATTCACAAAAAGATAAATGTCTGTTCCAATCAATGACTCTACTTAAAAATAGAGAGATTAAAAAAACAGAAACATCCGCCGGGCAGAGTTCAGTCTGAACGTTGTGGTAATTCCTCAGTTTGGATTTAATTCTCCTCAGCTGTGTTCAGAGCCTGTCTCCTCTGCTCGTCCTCCTCTCGTTCTTGTTGCCGGTCTCTCTGAACGATCTTTTCTGTCAGGAAGAAGAGAGCAGGAAGTTAACACAAAGAGCATGCTCAGTATGACACACACCTCTCTTCCTCTCTCTGCTCTCTCTGTCTCTCTGCTTTGCTCTTCCTGCTTTAAATTTGATCATTAACCCTTGTGACCCTGAACTGATGATTTATGTGTGCTAATTACATTTAAATACACAGGCAGACTCATACATGAAAGATAATGCTGCTCTTTATGGTAATATACTATGATTAAAAGGTTACATTTAAATGAGGAGACGCATAAAAACACAGACTAAAACACATGACATCATCAACCCGTCTGACCAATCATGTATTCATGTGAAGCCAGTCTCTCTCTCTCCATCACGCTGAGCACCGCAAGCTCTTCCTCTACTTCACACTGCGCTGCTAGTGCCGTTGCCATGGCGACGCTCACTATGAGCGAGGCAAACAGCGACCCACTCTGTGAATCTGGCACTTATGTATACGCAAAGACACACAAACACAGACATACATATATGAGCATGAGCACAATCAAGCATACCCTGGTAAACAAATATACAATGTCACACATGTAAACATACACTCTCATCATGCACAAACATGCACACACAAGTACACACTCACACACAAATGCTCGGTGTATTCTTTATGAACAAAAACACATACATACACACTTAAAAAAAAGACATGTTCAAACCTGTAAATAAACACACACTCTGAAAATCATCATACACGTTCCATTTACCAGTATGTACACACACACACCCCTATGAATGCACGTAAAAAGGGGAAGGTGATAAATGTGTACACACACACACACACACACACACACACAATTATATGCCGTGTCCTCACTACAATCACAGGCTGTGGGAGCTCATGTTAAGCAGTGTGTAATGGCTCTTGTGTGTTATTATGCTGCATGTTTTGATCACACGTCTTTTTGTGTGAGAATCTCATGACTTCTGTGTTTTAAACTCAGCTGAAGGATTAAACGCTTCTTAACATGATAAAAAACCTCATGAGAAAACATGAAAAATGAGCTGAAACTAGACATTTCTGAGAATCAGAGAATCACAATATATCAATATGAATCTGAGTTATAGAGACTCAGGAAGCTCAAACAGGCTGCAACAAGAGCACAGATGTTTTCTGGTTTGCTCTGTTATCATTGACAGGACATGAAAAAAGCAAAACTGATTACTGTCCTTTATTTCATTTTTATATTTCTTCTAAAAGCTTTTTAAGAAGAATATGGAGAACTGGACATACTGATTTATGCGTGATGATACTGCACTTTTCCGTTGCATTACCTACACATGCTGTTTACGATAATACAAAGACAGAATGCAGTAACTACAATATCACTGCATTTTTAGGATTATCATTCATTCATTGACCATAGTTTAAGAGTAAAAAATACTTTATGAATGCCCTTTTAATAAGTGCATTACCGCTTTTCTACCCATAACATATTTGGCTGGATGGTCAAAACATTTTGAAGCTATTTTTCTCAGTTCACTGTTACCATAGTTACTGTGGTTAGCCTTTGCAGGGCAGTATTATATCTGATGTTTCTGAACTGATATTACTGCTGCATTAATGTGTGTGTGTGTGTGTTATATCATTCTGCTGTAGATGTTTGAGGTTGTGCTCATTTGAACTCTTCCAAATACTGCTGGGTAGTTTAATCTAAGGCAATGCATCATTTTCTACAAGCCTGTCATGTGTTTGTAGCGTGGCTGCCCTGTGAGAACCACGTATCTCTATAAAGTCACCTTGTCATGGTGTCAGAAAAACAGCCATGTTTTCAGCTTTGTGACGATGCATTTTCCAGCTGATCCAAGAGGGTTTTTAAAGGGCCAGTGTGTAAAATGGGTTGAAAACAGTGACATTAGTGGTCAAATTCTAGATTGCAGGGCTCACTCACTCACCCCTCCCGTCGGGTAAATGACGGTGGCCTCGTAGGGACAAAAAGCCTTGCGCACGATTTTTTCAGGAGTAGGTCTATCTAGCGACGAGGTGAATGTTTTTTTAGAAATCTAAACCATGTTACGATATTGTAATGAATCCCTCACGAGCAGGAGACCAGAGGAGCGTTCAGGAAAAAGGCCCGTTTATTTGAGCACTCCAGAAACTCCGGTAACACTCCACTCCGTCCCAAACTCTGACTCTTCTAGCGTAACAGACACACTTCATAACTTTACACACATACTCGTTTACCATACCGAGTGGGGACCCCCCTCCCCTCTCTGCTCCGCCAATCTCCAGCCCGCACACTGACTGACAGCGTAGCCGGTAAACAGAGCTCAGCTGTTTATTTAGCCTAGCAATATCTCCGGACTATAGTAGCTGCAATGGACGACTTTGAACGCAAGTTTCTTGTAGCGGACACAGACCCAGAGCCATACCTGTTTGAGCCGGAGCATACAGATGAGGAACTCCATGTGTTTGATGCTGAGCGGGTGAGAAGAGAGGCTGAATGCACAGAATGGGATTCGGTGCTACTGCTGCCATCGTTGGGAGATATATCATCAGGAGGAAAAGCTCTGCAGAGAGTGCATCACAAGGAGTGAAGTTGCGTCTTCTTTTCCTCGCAGATGACGGTTCGGGTTCATTCTCTCCTGTTGCGTGGTAAGTGTGGTCCATTCGCAAACTTTATAACTAAAAAAAACTTTTCACTATTCTCTATCGACGAACTACTAACACTCTGCTGTTTCTTCCTCCTTCTTCCTTCCTTCCGCTGTCTTCGTTGGTTCATTTATACATGCAAAACGCGTTCTCTGGCTGGCTGGATTGTCCACTCGGACTCGGTCAGTCCCTTGCTATATATATATATAAAAGCATAATTATAAGGCTACGAAAACCAAACGAATTTTATTTTATAGCAATACACTTATATAAACATATTAATGGGTAGAATATTCAGATTCAGATTCAGATTGACAATAAACCATGCCAAATATTACACACTGGCCCTTTAAAGAGTTTATTTAGCTTTGGGGGTATGAGAATTTTAATCAACACATGAAGGAGCACTTCATCCTCCAGTTTATAACAAACATTCAACCACAACACATCTGGAGATATGTAGTGTCCACTGGAAAGGTATAAACAATTGTATTTTTTTAAGTAACTAAAGCTGTCAGACAAATGTAAAGCATGAAAAAGCACAATATTTGCCTCTGAGAGGTAGTGGAGCTTAAAGTTGCATAAAATGAATGTGCCTCTAATTTGTTCTTGAGTGACAGTGAGCTTCACAAACACTTCAACCTCTCTGACCAAACTGATGTCACCCTGATTCCTCTTGGAGATAGCAGAGACACTTCCGACAGTTCACCACAGAGTAAAAACTATTTCATGTTTGACATCTGCAGCCTTCAAACTGATGTGAGATACTGATAACCTCCGTCACAGCACCAACATGCTGCAGGAAAAGGAAGGACAAACACTTGTGAGCTAAAGTCAGAAATCAATAAACGAGGAGGATTTCCACTGTTCCACAGAGTAAATGATAAAACCTTTATGTGCATTTTTACACACACAGCTACACACTATACAAACATGTCCATTTTACGGTTGCCATGGCAGCCATCACTCTCCATCCTCTCAGGGGTCAAACCAGGTCTTCGCTGAAATGTGTGTAAGTGTATAAAAAGCCTGCAGTTCCTAAATATACCCTCCGACAGGCTGAGATTGTAATAGCCCTCTGCTCTGCTCTACCCGAAGCATCACACACACACACACACACACACACAATTACATGGTGTCACAGATGGCAGCCTTTGTGTGTGTGTGTGCGTGTGTGTGTGAGCGCTCTAAGCTTTTTGAGATGAGACTTTTGATTTCAACACCATTTTACAAACTTGAACAGTAGATCTGCATTTGTACAAGTGTGTGTGTGTGTGTGTGTGTGTGTGCGTGTGTGTGTGTGTGTGTGGGCATGCAGCTTTCATCCTCCTCCAACACAGGACTCCCATTTGGCCCAGTGCTCCTAATACTGGAATCAAACTGGTGCAACTTTAATCATGTTTCTATTCTGTGATGTTTTGTGATAACAAAACGAACTAGAAACACTTATTTCTCTCTAACAGATGTCTCCAAGGACAATACACACACACATACACACACACACACACACACGTGCACACACACACATCTCCACCACTTGCTTTTGTTTTGTGTAGGCAAGATTCTCGAGTGCTGATTTTTTTGTAGATTTCCCACTACAAAAAGTAGGCGACATCAAACGACAAAGATGAGAAAGACATTTTTCTTCTTCATCTAGTGTCAAATCTCTATCTGTTCACTTGTTTCTCACATCTCTATGACCCTGTTAACACCTGGTATTTACATGCGTCATGGGTGACCTAATTATAAGTGTAAACAACAACCAAGATGCACTGTGATCAGATCACTCATATTACTTGCTGAGGTGGTCAGAAACACATTTGACTACTTTGCTTTTGTCGTGTATACACTAATGCATCCTGATGCATCCTAAACAAGGACAACATCATAAATGTAGGACGTGGTGGTTGTTTTGGTAACAGCACGCTAAGGCTGTGATCACACAGAGCGCATTTTAGCAGCCTGGAGTAGCTTTTTGTGATGGTTTTTTTAAAGAGTGAGATGCTTTGCTTGCTGCTTGCCCGATGTCGGCGAAACAAGTGGTAGCGTAGTGTTAATCTAACAGTAGCTCACTTTCATCATCGCCCTAGAGACTAGCTGCAAGACATATCTGACCATATTATCACCTCAAATACTTTCTTGTGATTAGGCTCAATGATTGACAGATGAGGGTGAAGCTCCTGGACCAGCTCCTGGTGCGCCTGTGATTTCTCCTCTTCCTGAGGATCTCATGTCACTACAGGGATCACACCCCCGTGCCCAATCCCAAAGTGCTCTCCGCCTGTCCATTTTCTATGGAGATGTTCAGGTACAGAGCTGTGAGTTTACTTCACAGCAAAATAGTGCTTAAGCTAATGACAGGTGATTTGGTGGTTGCCTAGCA